TTATTCATATAGAACTGGGGTACAGGCCAGAGATGCAGAGGGTGAGAGGATTCACCAGAGACAAAGTGGGGAGCAGAACAGGCAGATCGACGAAGTACACCGCTGAGGGGAGCAGCGGGCGGGCCAGGAAAGGTCTGCCGCGCCATGTGGATCTCCTCCAGGGCAGGCGGAATCGAACTCATGCGGAAGTGGCTTAAGCTTCTTAGTGCAGTGCTTTAACCCGCTGCACCACCAGGAAGGGCCTTGGGAATGATTCTTTTAAGTGAGTTTTGCTACTTCTTGTATCTTTAAAGTCTAGTTACTATTTTAGGTAGATTTTGGTTTTAGACTGGTTGATCAGTTAACTTTTCTCCATCTTTAACTGTTTCCCCTCCCTCTGAGGTTTAGAGGTTTTGATTAGGGTCACCAGATCTGTTAATTAGACTTAACTTTTCATTCTGTTTTCATCTCACCAATTACTTTTTCCTATTAATGACTTTAACGGAAATGTTGGATTCAGCTTAAGTGTATCTGTCCAATTATTTTTTCCTATTAATGACTTTAACAGAAATGTTGGATTCAGTTTAAGATATTTAAATAGAGTATATTTTCCAGTTTTTTTTTTTTTGATTCATTAGTTCTCTTGACTTTTTTCAGTTTTTCTACAAACCATGCCTGTTGTGGGTGGAAATTTGTTTTTTTTTTTACTAATGAGAAAGTCAAACATATCTATGATATTCCTTTTAATTTTAAGATGAATTTGTAATTTTGGTGCATTGGTGATGTATGAATAGTGACATTAAACTATTAATGTTCTTGCTATTTAAGAATAGATGGAGGATTTAACTGTTGGGCCTACTGGGTTGCTTGTTTCCTGTTTAGTTGGTTAAATCTATTTGATGAGTAACTGAGGGATTCCTCCTATGTACTAATCATATCCTAAGTAAGTGAAGATGGCACAGAATGTATATAGAAATGCTATTAGGATATCAACCCAGATCTTGGTAAAATTAAGGAAACAGGCCAGAGTATCTTATTATTTCTATGATCTGTCCTAATACTGTGTTATAGCTTGCTGAAAACACTCAGCGGAGGAAGTGACTATACTCTGCCCCTCAACTCTAGTGAGTGTTGATGACACGCTAGATGGACTCAGTAAAGGGAGATGAGGTACTTATTGACAGAATACAATGTCCTTTGTCATCCAGAGAGGGGAATGTCCTCAGTTCTCTCCCATCTGTAGTGTACTGAGTCAGAGGCTTTTGGTTTATAGAGAAAATTGAGCCAGCATCCATTCTGTCAGATTCTGGAAAAGCATTTTGTATATTGCTTCAATTTCTAAATAGAAAACACTCAGTGACATGATTTCCTTACACTTCAGTGTATGTTCATTACTGGTGTATACTTGGTATGAAGATACTGCTGCATTTAGCTGTGAAACTGTGCATTATTTACCAAGGAATGAGTTCTATTGAACAGTGGAGAATAAAATGATGGGCATAGGGAAAGGATGGGGTGTTGTGCTCCTTTTCATGACCAACAAGGCCTTCCTCCATGAATTTGCTTTTCTTGTCTAGTATCAAGGTTGCTCTCCTTTGTTTAATTATCTTTATAAAATAAACAGATGGATACATTCCCACAAGATATTTTAAACACTGTTCCCTTTGACTTCAGTCCAGCTCCTCTCAACAGAAGGAATTCATTGCTCTCCCTTTTGTGTTTGTAGAAAGATGTGCATATGTTTGTGATGAGATGAATGGTATCATGCAAAATATACTGTTTTACTTGATTTTTTCACTTAGTTAATGTGTTGGAAGGCATTTCATGTCACAACATGTTGATTGAATTTATTTCAGTTTTGGATGTGTCAAAATAAACTTTTCTGTTGCTGTTGGCTATCTCGTTTTGCTTTAAAAGACTGCTTCAGTGATTCCCTTTGTCTATTCCCAGTAAATATTATTGTGAGAGTTTCTCTAGGTTATCAAGAAGTGGGCTATTGACTCATAGAGTTTAGGGATTTAAAAATTTCTGAGATATGGGTTCTCCTGGTGGTGCCAGGGGTTAAAGCACCACATTATGAAGCTTTCCGAAGCCACTGTAGCATGAGTTTGATCCCCAGCCAGGGAGCTGACCCACATGGCGTGGCAGACCTCTCCTGACCTGCCCACTGCTCCCCTTAGCAGTGTACTTCATTGATCTACCTGTTCTGCTCCCCACTCTGTCTCTGGTGAATCATCTTACCACACCTCTGGCCTGTACCCCAGTTTTGTAAGCATAAATAAATCTTTAAAAAGTTCTGAGATGTTATAACACATTGTTGCTATTATAATTTGTAGATGTGAATGGATAGTACTGATATAATTTGTGTAGGGGAGAATCTTAGGTATGTCACAGGAACATTAATTAGGTATTGAAAACATTGAATGGTAGCCAGAGGAACCTTGAATATTTCAATGATGTTTATTTTTTTTTAACAGAAGCATTTTCAGGTATTACATGAGATGTTAATGTTTACCAATAAAAATATAGAATCTGAATAATTTCTGTCTTGGTGCTATGGGAATAGAATAGTCCCTATTTTCAGTGACATGCTGATCATATAAAATTTTTGAGTATATATTAAGCTGTAGAAAAAATACATATTTTAAAAAGTAAAATTAGGTAAGCGTAGGTGGTAGTCACATTTTTTGAACAGTTATCCCAGTCAACACTATTTGATCATTTGGGTTTTTCTAGATATTACAGTAAAAAGCTATATCTTGTGGCTGTTTATAGTGGATTCTAGTACAAATCACTAAAATACAAAATTTTTTCCGTTGGCCCTTTAATGTGTAAGAGAGCATTGAATTTGCCTGTGTTGTATGAGTATAGTAGACAATTGCTTTAATCATGTGACTCCAAAGGGTAAGTGGTTTTTAATGTTTAACTTTGTTCTTAAAGAGATGTAAAAGCTGGAAATATTCTTCTTGGAGAAGATGGCTCAGTACAGATTGCAGGTAATGATTAATATTTCTTTTTATTTTTATTTAATGGTTAATAAAGCCATATTACTTATCTCTTATGTTTTCCCCACCTTTGGACTCTTCTTTATTCAGATGGATATGTTGGCATCTGTACAAACATTCAAGATACATCTCTGTTTCTTATCCTTCATTTTTTATCTTAATCTAGCCACTACATACTATCTTCAAGTTATCTGCTCATTACCATTACTAAGGTCTCCTGCTGTGGGTTTTTATGATATTTTGTACTTTCCATTAAAAAGGTAAGCAGTCCAGAAACCTCATTGTGTTTAAGAATATACCATAGAGAGGTGATACTGAGCTGCTTTTGTCCTTGGGGCAATGGGGTGTTGGTCATTTAAGAAGACGCATCTGAGGTAGCAGTGTACTTTCGATAGATTCCCAGCTGAAGAAATAAGAGTTGGAGTACAGGGCCTGACAAAGGTGGCTATCCTGATGGAATACCCCCTCCTCCAGGCTTACTCCAGAATGGCTGTACTGCAGGATCATCAAGCAAGCAGATCCCCTGGGAAAACCTCAGGTTGGCCCCACACTACTGTGGGTCCACTCACGGTCAGGTGACTGGTAGGAAGAAGATAATCACCAAAGCTTATATTTTTTCTTCAACTTTTAGAAGATAATTTAGGTATACCTCATCATGTCGTAAGGTAAGGAAATATTTAAATGAAGCCACACAGAGCTCTAACATAAAGAAAAGATGGATAAAGTTGACTCTTAATATTAGTAGCCTTTCTTCACAGAAGGAACACAGTAATGTATCACCATCAATAAGTAAAAAGGCAAGCCACAGAATAGAGACGATATTTGTAGCATGAAAAACTGTTCAAATTTAGGTTATACAATGAACCCATAAGAAAAAAAAAAAACTCACATTAAAAAATAGGCAGAAGAGGCCCTCCCTGGTGGCACAGCAGGTTAAAGCACAGCACTAACAAGCTGAAGCCACTTCTGCATGAGTTCGATCCCCACCTGCCCCGGAGGTGACCACATGGTGTGGCAGACCTCTCCTGACCCACCCGCTGCTCCCCTCAGCAGTGTACTTCGTCGATCTGCCTATTCTGCTCCCCACTTTTGTCTCTGGTGAATCCTCTTACCCTCCGTGTCTCTGACCTGTACCCCAGTTCTTTATGAATAAATAAATAAATCTTAAAAAACAAAAATAGGCAGAAAATTGATAAAGTCATTTTCCAAACAAAGGCATCTAAATATAACAAAAGATGTCAGCCTCACTAGTAATCAGTTAAATTAAAAATAAAATACCATTGCGATACTATTTTATTTTTTTTTAAGATTTATTTATGCATACAAGAGCGGGGTATAGGGCCCTCCCTGGTGGTACAGTGGGTTAGCGCATAGCACTATGAAGCTGTCGCAGCCACTGCAGTATGAGTTTGATCCCCGGCCAGGGAGGTGACCCACATGTCGTAGCAGACCTCTCCTTACCCGCCCATAGCTACCTTCAGCAGTGTATTTCAGTAGATCTGCCTGTTCTGCTCCCTGCTCTGTCTCTGGTGAATCCTCTCACCCCCTGTATATCTGGCCTGTATGTATAAAAAAAAAAAAAAAAGAATTCAGGTGACTCAGGTGTAGGCCAGAGGTGCAGGGGGTAGGGAGAGGAGGGGTGTGAGAGGATTCACCAGAGACAGACTGAGGAGCAGAACAGGCAGATGGATTAAAATACACTGCTGAGGGAGCAGTCGGCTGGTCAAGAGAGGCCTACTGCGCCATGTGAGTCAGCTCCTTGGTCAGGGATCTGCAGTGACTGCTGATAGTTTCATAATACCGAGTCTACCTTTAGTGCCACCAGGGAAGCCCTTTAACTAGGATACAACTTTAAACTGACTGATATGGGAAAGACATCTGACAGTACCAGATATTAGTAAAACAAGGAAGTATCTCATACTCTGATGGGTGGGTATATTACAAATCCACTTTATTGAGATAGAAGATATACTTACTTCAAGATTAAGCTTCTGTATTCATGTTGAGAAACTCATGCTTGCATGTGTTATAATGCTCATAAGCATTAAAAGTTTAAAATAATCCCAGTATCATTAGTAAAATATACACATAAATTTGGTTAATTTATATATTGGAATGCTGTATTAGTTATGGAAATGAGTACAATTATATACAAACCTGTAACTACAGTTATATACAAAAATCTTACTATAAAAATTAAGGTGAAAGAAGCCAGTATAAATGGAATATGTAATATGTGACTTTACTTAAATCAGTTCAAAACCAAGCCCAATTATACTGTATTGTTTAAGAAGGGAAAATCAGATAGTAAAAACTAAAGAAGAGAAATTCTGGGAATATGGTGAAAAGGAAGTCCCAGGACTCGTGTCACCACCTAAACAGTAGTTGTACTGGTTAGTACATAAAAAGCAACTGCATAAACAGAAAAACTGGAAAATAACTGGGCATGCCCAGGAAAAGTCTTAAAAAATGACTGAGAAGATCTTCTGTTTACACCTCAGGCAGATACCTGGGACAAGGATAGCCTACAGCAGTCAAAAAGAAAGGCAATAACTAAACAGCAAATGGTGAGAATTGGGAAGAATCTGATTTCTAAAGTTATTACATTATTAGATTCAAATGTCCACTTATCAGCAAAAAAAAATATGTTTCCTGTGAAAGGAAACATATCAACAAAAACTGTTCCTCAAGAAGACCTTATGACAAACCCACTAGGAGAAGGCCTACTAGACAAAGACTTCAGAACAGCTGTGTTAAAGTTGGTCAGAGAACTAAAGGAAGATGTGGAGAAATTTTAAAGAAATGGAATAACAAGTAAATATAAGGAATTCTGGAGCTAAAAGGTATAATAACTTGTACTGTGAAATGAAAAATTCACTAGAAGAGTGTAAGTGCAAATTGCAGCTGATGAAATAACCAGAGGTCTTGACAACAGAATAATGAGAGTTATCAAGTCTGAGAAACAGAAAGAAAAAAGATTGAAGTGAACAGAGCCAAAGGGCCTGCCTTGTGGGACACAATCAGATCAACATATGCATTGTGGGAGTCTCAGAGAAGAAAGAAGGGTTCAGGGAGAATGTTTGAAGAAATTAATTGCTGAAAACTTCCTAAATATGTTTAAAATCCCAAAAACCTCAGCGATCTCCAAGAAGGATGAATTCAAAGAGACACATACAAAGGTACATTATAATCCAAACTTTTTCTTTTCAAACATCTCACATATTAATTATTGAACCGATTTATTAGTGGGGGGAAAAAACATGCAAAGAGAAAACGTATTTCCTAATCATAGCCAAATAGTTTTCAGCATGGTGTGGCAAGATGCTAGTGCTATTGATATAGCGTGTGTCATGTAGTGTGTGATTGATTCCTTATAGACTCAGCTTGAGTCTTCTCCAGTCTGTTTGCATTTGTATCCACCTTTATTACTAGTTTTCATTTTAATTCATTGAGGAATGAGATGATTCTGTTTTGTTTCTTTATCCTAAAAGTCTTATGAAAGGATGTGTGAGAGTCAATTGCACACAGTTTCATGGCAGGGAAAGATAGAGAATATAATTGAAAATTTGAAAAGCAGAGACAAAGGGAGAATATTAAGAAGCAACTTGTCATTTACAAGTGAGTCTCAATCTTCTCAAGTTACTTCTCATCAGAAACTTTGGAAACCAGAAAGCAGTGGGCAGATTTCAGAGTTATAAAAAGAAAAAAGAAAAGTCAACCAAGACTGTTATACTATGTCCAGTATAACAGTCCTTCAAAAATGAGGGAGCAATTAGAAGCATTCCCAGTTTAAAACCTGAGGGAATTTATTACCTCTAGACCTGACCTGTAAGAAATGTTCAAGGGAGGCCTCAAGGTTAAAAAAAAAAAAGACCAGACAATAACCCAAGCAGTATGAAAAAGTAAAAATCTCAATAAAGGTAAATACACGTGCAAGTATAAAAGCAATTGTGCTTCTGGTTTTCTTTGTGATTTAAGGGGTGAATAAGTACAATTATTAGATTAAAAGTTAATGTTGTGACTTTGTTATATAAGTCCACATATTTTCCTGAATAATTACTGTCAAAGATAATCATTAAGTTATATATTGGAGCACACAAAGCATTAAGGTGTAATTTATGACATCAGTGGCCAAAAGGGATGGGGAAATTGCTGAAGAAATATTGTTTTATATGTTATTGAAGCTAGTTGTCATAAATTAAAATTAGAGTGTTATAACTTTAGAAAGATAAACAATTCCCATGGTAGCTGCAAATAAAATAGCTACAAAATGTGAACATAAGAAAAAATTTAAACACTTCAGGATAAAAAATTAATTGAACACAAAAGTAGATTGTAATTCAGCAAATGTAGAATAAAGAAACTATTAAGACTTACAAAAAAAAATTAACAGGATACCCTCCGTATTAGTAATGTCTTTAAATGTAAGTAGAGAAAGCTCTTATCAAAAAACAGAGATTGGCAGAATGGATAAAAAGACATAGTCCAACTCTGCTCTCTATAAGAGACTCACTTTAGATTCAAAATTGTTGGCTCACTTTAGTTTGAAAGTGGAATGATGAAGAAAAAAAAAAAATTCCATGCAAGTAATAAAGAGAGCAGGGGTAGCTATACTACTATCAGGCAAAAATGGTTACACAGGGCAAATAAGGATATTATATATTTATAAAAGGTTCAGTCAGCAAGATGATATTGGAATTATAAATGTTTTTGTATCTGGTAACACCAGCAAATTACATAAATCAAACTTGACAGAACTGAAGGGAGAAATAGACAACTCTGCAGTAATAGACTTTAGTACCTCACTCTTGATGATGGATAAAGAAGAGAGAAGAAAGAAAATAGAAGACTTAAGTTCCACAACACACCAACTAAATCTAATAGACATATACATATAATCTAATAGCCACTAACCGTGGAATGTACATTATTCTTAAGAACGTATGGGACATTTTCCAGAATAGGGCACCAATAAGTCTAAAATTAACATATATCATGCAAAATATTGTCTAACTGTAATGGGATAAAGTTAAAAATTAATAATTGAAGACTAGCAACTTCATGAATTTGTAGAAATTGAATAACATGCTTAAGCAAGTAATGGCTCAAAGAAGACATCCTAAAGGAACTTGAATGTGCTTAAAGACAAATGAAAGTGAAAACAAAACACACTAAACTTAAGGAACATGGCAGAAGTGTTGCAAAGGGACAACTTTATAGCTATAAACATATTAAAAACCAAGGAAGACAGCAAAAGAATATTTACAGATTAAAAGAATATTTACAAATTAAAGAGCTAGAAAAAACAAGCAGAATATAAAGGTAATAATATAAAGTAATAAGAATATAAAGTAATAATTGAAAAACAATAGAATCAGTGAAACTAAAAGTTGGTTCTTGAAAAGATAATAAAATTGACAGATCATACGTTAGGGCACCAATACGTCTAAAATTCTTAGATTGACTAAGAAAAAAAGGATTAAAATGAATGAAGTTAAATGAAACTAGGGATATTACTACTGATACTACAGATGTAAAAAGGATTATAAGAGGATACTAGGAACAATTAATGCCTACATATATAAAAGGGACAAATTCGTTGAAACACAAGACTGAAGACAACAGACTGAATCATGAAATAGAAAATCTGAATTGACCTGTAACTAGCACAGAGGTTAAATAGTAGCCAAAATCTCACAACCAAGAAAAGCTCTGGACCTGATGACTTCATTGGTGAGTTGCCAAACACTTAGCAACTAATATCCTTCTCAAACTGTTCCAACATATTAAAGAGGAAGGAATACTTTCAGATGATTTGGAGGCCAGCATTACCACAATACCAAAGCCAGAGAAAACAACTATAAGAAAACTACAGATCAGTGTGCCTTACAAACTGAAGTCAGAATTCTCAACAAAATAATAATGAATCCAACAGAAATTTATTAGTGTGAAAGGATGATTCAACAATGAAAATCAATCTATATAATAGATCACTTTAACAGAGTGAAGGAAAGAAACTGCATGGTCATCTCAATAAATGAAGAAAAAGCATTTAAGAGAAAGTTCGACACCTTTTCTTGATAGCAGCGTGCTGAAAGCTAGGAACATCCTTGACTCCTAAAAGCCATACTATGTAAGCCCACAGTGAACGTCAAAAGAGAAAGCTTTTTCTCTAGCTCAAGACCAAGGCAATGGTATCTGCTTATGCCACTTCTATTTCAGCATCCTAGGAAGTTCTACACTGAACAATAAAAAGAAAAGACATTCTAATTAAAAAGGAAGAAGTAAAATTGTTGGCAAATGATAAGATCTTATATGTAGAATACCCTCAGCATCCATCAAAAAAAAAAAAAACTTTACAAAACTTTGAACCAAGAAATTATTCAATAAATTAGTATACAAAATCAATACAAAACATAGTTACATTTCTGTAGACAAACAATTTGGGGAAAAGTTACATTTATAAGTAGAATCAAAAACAAAATACTTAAGAGTCAGCTTAACCAAGGAAGTGATGAGACTTGTAAAATGAAAAGTACAAGATATTGTTGAAAGAAATAAGACATAAATAAAACAGTTCCATCTTCATGGTTTTGAAGACTGAATTAAAAATCTCAGAATAATCTGGAGATGCAGATTACTACCCAGAATAATCTGGAGATGCAGTACAATCCCTATTAAAGTCCCAATGTTTTTGTTGTTGTCTCAGAAATAGATAACATCCTAAAATTTATTGTGACTCTCAAGGAGCCCTCAAACAGTCTTGAAGAAGGAATAATGTTCAAAGATTCACATTTCCTGTTTTTAAATAGTTCTATGAAGCAGTAATAACAATAATATATAGTAGCATAAATATAGAGACTAGACTAGGCTAGATTAGAGAATTGGGAAACAGATCTTCACATGTTCAGTTAAATAGTATTTGGCAAGGTTGCTAAGACCATTCAAGGGGTGGGGGCTGAGGGTTAGGGCAGTCATTTTAGCAAGTGGTTTTGGGAAAACTGGATATCCCCATGAAAAGAATGAAGTTGGATTCTTGTCTAACACCATACACAAAAATGAAATCAAAATGGATCAGATACCGAAATGTAAGACCTAAAACTAAATTCTCAAAAAATAAAAAAAAAAAAGCTTCATGACATTGGATTTGGCAATGATTTTTTTTTTTTTTATGTGACACCAAGTGCCCAGGCTACAAAAGAAAAAGGGAAAGTGGACTAAATGAAATTTAAAATTTTTGTGCAACAAAACACTGCTATAGAATAAAAATTTATCCCACGGAATAGGGGGACATATTTGCATATTATATACCTGACAGGTGACTAATGTCCAGAATATACAGAGAACTACATCTCAACAAGTCAGTTAAAAATAGACTTAAAGAGTTTTCTCCATTGAAGATAAGCAAATGATTAATAGGCACATGAAAAGATGCTCCCCATCACAAATCAGCAAGGAAATGCAAATTAGAACTACAGTAAAATCCCATATCCAGCTGGGTGGCTTTATCAAAAAGAGAATATGTTTTCTGGATTGAGAATATGGAGGAGTTGGGATTCTTGTGTGCTTTTGGTGGGAATGTAAAATGGCATAGCTGCTAAACAACATTACAGTTTCTGAAAGAAAAATAAAATTACCATATGGTTCAGCAGTGTATCCAAAAAAATAAAAACACATCTGGATATTTGTACACCCATGTTCATAACGGCATTATTGACAGTCGCCAAAACACGAAGGCAGCTGCATCCAAGCAACTGTGTATTGACAGATGAAAGGATACGCAGATGTGGCGTATATATATATAACAGTGGGATATCATTCTGCTCGTAAAGAAGGAAGTTCTCACGTTGCCACATAGATGGATTTCTCAGACATTGAAATAAGTTAATTGAAATAGCCACAAAAAGACATGACTCCACTTTCACAAGGCATTTAAGAAGTGTCACAATCATGGAGACAGAAAGGAGAATGTTGTTTGCTGTGGGCTGGGGATTGGGGATAATGTGGAGTTCAGTTTATTTATTTATTAAAATAATAGTTTATTTTTATATCATTTTGTGCTTTTTTCCATCTCAGTTGTAACCCCCGTGGGCTTCCCATCACCAGTTCACCCTTGTGCCATCACCGTAGTCCAGTGCACTTCCCTTCGCCCCCCCCGCCCCCATTTTTGACCCTATTCCCCACTCCACCCCCACAAAATGTCTCTGGTATATAGTTGTTCATTATTATTTTCCCCCTGGTCCTTTATACTCCTGCTATGAGTGAAACCATCCAGTATTTTTCCTTTTCTTTCTGGCTTATCTCACTAAGCATGATCCCTTCCAGCTCCATCCATGTTGCTTCAAAAGGCATGTGTTTATCTTTTTTGGTTGCTGAGTAATATTCCATTGTGTATATTTACCACATCTTTTTAATCTAGTCATCTACTTTTGGGCATTTGGGTTGATTCCATGTCTTTCCTATTGTAAATAAAGTAGCAGTAAACATGGGGGTGCAGTTGTCTTTTTGAATCAGTGTTTTTGTCTCTTTTGGGTAGATGCCTAAGAGTGGGATTGCTGGTCCTGTGGAAGCAGTTTGAGTCCATTTTTAGCAGTTTGAGAAACCTCCAAGCAGTTTTCAATAGTGGTTGTACTAGTTTGCATTCCCACCAGCAGTGCAGGAGAGATCCTTTTTCTAATGTGGAATTATTTTTTAATGGATATAGAGTTTGGGAAAATAAAAAGAATATCTTGAGGCAAAGGAGACAATCTGAGGGAGATGGTGATGTGTGGGGGCTGAAAAGAATGGAATAAAGGAACTGTTTTAGCCTTAATTTAGTCAAGAAGTTAAAAGGAAAGACACAGTATAATACTGTTTGCATATGGAACTATAACTGCATGATGTTTCCCAATCCACTGTGTTAGTGGCTGTGCTCTTTAAATACCTTGCTGTCATACTCTATTTCAGATTTTGGCGTTAGTGCTTTTTTAGCAACTGGTGGTGATATTACCCGAAATAAAGTAAGAAAGACTTTTGTTGGCACTCCTTGTTGGATGGCACCAGAAGTTATGGAACAGGTAATATGTCTTTTCATCTTTTTAAAGTGGTCTAGGGTTTTGTTATAAAACTGTGGAGAGGGGTGGGAACTTTATGGGAATTACACCCGAGATGAAAAAGCATACATTGTACAAAATGAAAAATGATGCTAAAAATAGTAAAATTTTTTTCTTTTTACAATAAAAAAGAAAAACTGGAAAAATTGAGTAATGTTTGATTCATCAAGTTAGCTTTGGGAAAAACTTATCTCTGTTCATTGGTTAAGAGGTCCACTGTTTAAAAACAAAAAAAAAGCCCTATAGAACTTTACACCGAACACAGGAAACCCAGCATTTTACCAAAGGCCACCTAAGGAATATTGTAGTCACGATTGTTTTTAACAATTTCCTTACTACAAATTAAATAATGTCATCATTTCATAGCTGTTGTCTGAGACACTAGTTTTCTCCACATCCTCATTTCCCATTTGCTCTCAAAAAACTGCAGTCTGATATCACTGAGTCCATCACTGAAAATCAGTGCTCATTTTTTACTCTTTGTCCTCTTTGCACCATTTTAAAATGCCAACAGTTCCCTTCCCGACCTTCTCTAGAGTCACTTCCTCATTCAACTACTTGCCAGGCCATTTCTCTAACTTCTTCTGTGACTTCCCTTCTACTACTAAGTGACCCTGCTTTCCAGGACCTTGTTCTTGTACTCTTTTCTGACTGTACATTCTCACTGCCTCTGCTTCCCATTTAATAATGATTTCTAAATTACACCCAGTCCATTCTTATTTCCTAAGTCTCCAGATATTTCCAGTTTCTGTGGATGGTTTCCATAAATGTCTTATTATCGGAATGTCAAACTTAAGTGTGTACAACTGAATTTGCTTCACACTGAAAATTTGTTTGCACCCTGTTGATGAAGGCAAGATTCCCTTCCACCATAGGCTTATGGGGATGACTGAGTATTTAACACGTAATACTGGACTGCTGTGATTGACTTGGTTTCCGTATGAAGATGTGATTAGACTGACTGACTAATTCTGAGGATGATGGGGGACTGGAATTTGCTCCTCAGGGATAAACAGTAACTAGACCTGGCTTGTTTTATAAGCTGGGTTATGGCACTAGATTGAGGAACTTATCCTCAGCAGCAGAGGGGGAGGGGAACTTGCACTTAGCTCATTGAATGCTGCCCTATCCCAGAGGTCAAGGCAGCATATAAATGGATCTTTAATTTTTGGTCTTAAAACACAAAATCTCCCACAGTTATGTTTCCTTCTATGATTGCTTAGGATACACATTAAAAATATTAGCTGTAGAATGTGCTGGTAACAATAAAAAGGAGAGATTTGGTGACATTCCAACAACTTTTAAAATATTAATACTCTGTTTTTGTTAAAAGAAATAAGATTACAAAAACTATCATAATATAGAAAATTTGTAGAACTAAAGATTCACCACCACTGCCTAACATTTTGTTCTAATTCTATTTTTTTTTTTAAAGATTTATTTATTTGTACATACAGAACCGGGGTACAGGCTAGAGGCTCAGGGGCGGTGAGAGGCTTCACCAGAGACAGAGTGGGGAGCAGAACAGGCAGATCGACGAAGCACACTGCTGAGGGGAGCAGCGGGTGGGTCAGGAGAGGTCTGCCACACCATGTGGTCACCTCCGGGGCAGGCGGGAATCGAACTCATGCGGAAGTGGCTTTAGCTTCTCAGTGCAATGCTTTAACCCGCTGCGCCACCAGGGAGGGCCCTAATTCTATTTTTTTTTTTTTTTAAGATTTATTTATTTATTCATACAGAACTGGGGTACAGGCCAGAGATGCGGAGGGTGAGAGGATTCACCAGAGACAGAGTGGGGAGCAGAACAGGCAGATCTACGAAGTACACTGCTGAGGGGAGCAGCGGGCGGGTCAGGAGAGGTCTGCCACACCATGTGGATCTCCTCCGGGGCAGGCAGGCGGGGATAGAACTCATGCGGAAGTGGCTTAAGCTTCTCGGTGCTGTGCTTTAACCCGCTGCGCCACCAGGGAGGGCCTAATTCTATTTTTTATTAGACTATAGATGTCTTTGTAATAGCTTAAAAATTTAGAATAATTTTCAGTCTTTTTTTTTCTTCATAAGTGCTTTATCACAGTGGTTTTCCTTGCTTTAATATAGAACTCATAAACATGGACCTATTATGTATGTTTTTTGCTGTAGTGCAAGGTTATTTGTCACAATATATAGTTGGCAGGAGCTGCTCGTGCATCTTTGCTAGCAGGGGGCACATCTCTCCCTGTGATGTTTCTGGGGTACATTTCTTGACCTCTGTACTTAGAAACCAGTTCAGTAAGTCCTTTGCCAAGGAGCTCCTGAAGGACTGTGCTGGCCAAAGAACCATGAGCCTGAAGTCTCCCAGCCACAACAGTTGGGGTTAAAACCCATAGTTGAGAACATCCTCACAGAGCGCATGTGGCTTTGCCAGGGAAGACGAAGTTATTGAGCTTGTCCCGCACTTTGCCTTTGGACCCTGTTTGGTCTTACTCCAGATTTGTTCACTGTGTCTTGGCTATTTTTTGGCATCTTTCTTCTTAACTGTGTTTGTCGAAGTTTGGAAAGAAGCAGTGCCTTTAGAGCATTCTTTAGCGCGTGTATACCACACCACACTTAACAGTTGATTCCCCGTTGTTACTGAACCTATTCAGGTTGCCTTTTTTTTTTTTTTTGCTATTTCCAAGTACATTTAGCTTTTGGTTATTTTATTTTGTTGGTTTGAAACTTATGAACACTTTCATGGTTCTTCATATTTATTAGAAGTTGCCTTTTAAAAGTGGTTTGAGAATGGTGAAATAATGTACACCTGTTTTTTACAGGTTCGAGGTTATGACTTCAAAGCTGACATCTGGAGTTTTGGGATCACAGCAATTGAACTGGCCACTGGGGCAGCTCCTTACCATAAGTACCCACCAATGAAGGTGAGGCCATATTCAAAGCACTATCTGTGCTCATGTTCCAGTTCCTTTTCAGAGTCTTCTCCATTCTTGGTCATAATGTGCTGCCTTTTATCTTACCACTCCTACCAGTTAAAGTCTTTTAGACGTTTGGTTTTAGCATTGGATGACTTTACGTTGTAGTTGGCCTTTTTATATGAGTCTGCTGACTCTCATTTGATTTTGATGTTTAATATCTCCCATTTAACACGTGTCCTCCACATCTGTCTGTAGAGAGCAACCTTGATAGGATGATAGTCGTTTCTACTTCACAAGGTTGTTGGAGTGGTTACAGATTATATTTTTTGAGTTAACAGTAGTTGATCATTTATTTGTATGAGGCACTATTCTGCACTTTTCATGTATTCACAAAGATCATCCATACAGAGTCTTCATTGTTATTGAATATAAGTTCAAAACAAAAGTTGGCTTTGTGGTAGATAGAACAAATACCATATATTTATTTTTATCAAATATCATATTTTATTAAGCTTCCTGTTTTTATTAAAATAACATATATATGTCCTAATGTAATAGTTACTTGAAATTGAGTTGCTGATCCTGTCCCCAGAATTTGTAACAGGGAGAATTTTGTGTTTCAGTGTGGCGCTGCCACTTTTATCCAGGTAAACACTTAGTTATAAATTCATGTGAATGCTTTCTCTTCTGTTTGTAGTTGTAGTTGTTGACTACATTCTTCTTGCCTGCTTTCCAAGATGCCCTAGATGATTTTAAATGGTGACTACTGCAGTCTACTGCCATACTGCTCTCAGTCACATCTATAGGATATTGGTACATTTTAGAATTTTAAAAAAAATGTTAGCCTGACCCCTTTAGGAGTCTTAACAACACAGCGAGGGACAAAACTTGTTAAAGGATACTATAGAAAAAAAATTGCTCTGTATCTCTAGATTTAAAATATACCTATACTGATCTGCATATTTGATAGGTAAATTTAAGTATGTAAAAGATTTGTGATACTTTAATAAGTTTTTTCTAAAGTTTGAAGACTGCTAGAGGTAACTGGATACTCATAAGGTTTTTAAAAGGATGCTTTTTTATAACTGTAAGGTGAGTGGCTATTTTAAGATCTAGAAGATGTCTTATTTTTTGAAGAGGTGGGGAAATGCAAACAGTGACTCTTGCCATCGCAGCCAGATATATACTTGTTGATCTTCTTTTCTTAAAATGAGCAATGTTATCATTTCAGTAAATAAAAATTCAGTAAAGTTGAAAAGGAGGTAATAATAATTCTGATTATTAGCACCCTTTTTAGTATTGATTTGGTATTTAGAAAAATTACTTTTTAACTAAAAAAAATCAAATGGTATAGAAAAACAAATCATCCAAAAATTCTACCACATAAATGTCACTATCGTTATTTAAACTTTATTCTATGAAACATGTTAGTATGTTGGCTTTAAAGTCAAAGAAAAAAGAAATCTAGAATGGATAGGATAATCAAAATTGTAATTTGCTTCAAGAAAGGTAGGAAAAATGAGAACTGAAAAAAGCTGTAACTTTAAGTGGGCCACCATTGGTGATTTCTATGTTAAAAATTTCTGAAAGAAAATGCCAGGTTACAAGGGGTTACAGAGAAATTGAGCCATGAATCGGTAAAGTTAGCAAAGTTAACACTTCTTATTTTGCTATGATTTTAATTTTTTAAGGGCTGGTTTGTCAATATAGGAAAGAAGACATGAGGAGAGGGTTCTCATTAAATCCTGTAACTAAAGCATATACAATGTTGACGCGGTTGATAACAGGTATATCATCTGGGAAACCAACTCTAGTATATTTTTATCCTATATAGTATATATAGTATATTGTGAAATCATATAAATAACTCTGTGTTCCAAGCAACTGATTTAGAGGTAAACTTTTTCTTCCTTGTATGTTGGGATTGTCCTGGCCACAGTGTTTAATTTTAATAAATTATATATAAATTATCAGAAATTAAATAACCATGAACATTCTTACAGGTTTTAATGCTGACGCTGCAGAATGATCCTCCCTCTTTGGAAACTGGTATTCAAGATAAAGAAATGTTGAAAAAATATGGAAAATCATTTAGAAAAATGATTTCATTGTGCCTTCAAAAGGATCCTGAAAAAAGGTAAAATATGCAAAAAGATTTTATTTTTATTTCATACATAAATCATTGTGGGAAGTCTAAGACTCATATACTTTTGTAGGTGATTTATTTCTGAATACTCAAAGGAACTGAATAGTACTTTATAAAACAAGCAGTGATCAAAACACAGGATTGGAAATAATGAACTACTTTCTTCCTTTTTAGTATTCAGGGTACCCTAAATAGTTCAACTATTTCATGGTTAATTTTTTATAATTATAAACTATATGTTGCAAATTTGTATTGATAAAAAATCAAATTAGAAGTAGAGACTTTCTTTTACTTTGTATTTAAAAGTTATAAACATATCTTTATGTTGCTTACAATTTTAATAGCAAAAGAAATTTATATAGCAATTGCTTTATTTGATATCAGGTGATCATACTTGTTGGAAAAATATTTTAATGAGTGGACCAAAAATTTAAAGTACTTGTTTAATACTAGACACTTTGAATGATAAATAGGAAAATGAGTCATCTAATAATGTCTGTATTGTTATGAATTAAACAGAATTATAGACTGTTGGAGACCACTGAGAACCACCTTTTAACTTTGAGGTTAACTAGCTACTTAGTAATAGAGGTGGGACTTGATCCAAAATTCAAGTTTCCTAAGTGACGATTGTGTTTTCACTTTATCTTACTTTTCTGTTTCACATATATATATTCTATTTAGCTCCTTCTCACTAAGAGTTCCTTAATTTTAATTTCCCTAAAGATTAACAAACACTAAGGAGTTTAGTTGACATCATTCATTGTACTTTTAGTCAATTGCTCATATCTCTTAAGAATGGAGCTTCAAAATTTGCTATTGGAAATATTGGAAAGAGAAAGAATAATAGGCATCAAAATACAGTTCTGCTGTTTTAGAATGTTCTGCTGTTGTTGAATAAACTGTTGATTATGCCATGTTATCTAGTTGTTAACTTATTACAAATATCCAGAAATAGTGGATAAATCTATCAAACATAAAAGCCAGATCCAGAGGTGAGATTACAATACAGGTTGTTCCTCCAGTACCAGAAACAAGAAGCCATGCATTAGACAAGAAGTATCATGATTAATCCTGTAACTGCCTTTAGTGGGATGCTGTTCACCCCATTAAGCTTTCTGATTTCTTTATGGTGACTTAAAATGAGATGCTGGGTCCACCTAGAGAGCCCAAAATCTTTGATCTGAGATCTTTGCTTAAAGTTAGACCCTTCATAAAAGCTAGATCCTTCCAAAGTCTGCATCCTGAGTGATAGGGTAGACCAGAAAAATGAAAAAAAATCTGTCCATCATCACAAAGACACAACAGAAAAATCTCCCCCGGATAATCATGTCTTCCCATACATAGTGGGTGTTCTTCAGATTTATATTCTGAATTTATACCACTAACATTGTCTAGGAACCAGTTGAATTACAAAATCAGTTTTATTTTTAGCAGAAGCACTTGCAAAGCTGCACTGTTTGAATACTTCCAAAGTCCAGGTCCATGAGAGTCCTGCATATAATGCCCCACTGAAGAGAAGGTCACAATCCAAGAGTACGAGACACTTAGTGAAAGTCCGCATGGCAAATGAGAGTCACCAGAGTCAGCAAGCAGATTTAGTACCTCTGGATAATACAAAGAAATCTGAAAGGATTTTAAAATAATTCTATTTGGAATAATTCAAATCATAGAGGGAAAAAAATCATTAGAAAATATGACTGACCTTCCCTGGTGGCACAACAGGTTAAAGTGAGCACTGTAAAGCAAGCCTCAGCTGCTTCAGCATGAGTTCCAGCCCCAGCCCCAGAGGTGACCCGCATGGCGTGGCAGACCTCTCCTGACCCGCCCACTGCTCCCCTCAGCAGTGTACTTCGTCATTATGACTGTTCTGCTCCCCACTCTGTCTCTAGTGAACCTGTCACTGCTCCTGCCCCTCTAGCCTGTACCCCAGCCCTGTATGTATAAATAAATCTTTAAAAAACAAAAAGAAAATGACTGTTACACCCAAGAAATAGAGTATGAAAAAGGAAATATAGCAAGATTAAAGTGAAAAAAAACTAGTAGACATCTTCACCAAAGTTAACGTCACCAATTATAAAAAATATTGATTGCGGTATACTCCCTGTTATGATACAAGGAGAAGGCACCTCCATTTGAGGTATTCTTCCCCCAAATCTATATCAACATCAGGCAAACCCAAATTGAGGGATTAGGTTTTTAACTCTAGTACTCTTCAAAAGTATCAAAGAAAGGGAAGACTAAGGAAGTGTCACAGATTAAAAGAGACAAAGGTAGTCTAGTGTCCTGGGGACATAAAGGGTGTCAGTGGAAAGCCTGGGGGCAAATCTGAATAACAATGGCTTAGTTGTTGGTATTGTACCATTGTAATTGTTTTCAATTTCTGGTAATTATACAGATCAGAATAAAATATTAATACTAGGTGAAACTGGTGAAGGGTATATAGCAACTCTGTACTATCTCTGTATCTTTTCTGTAAATGTGAAATTATCTAAAAATACAAGTTTAGAAAAGAATAATATGTGAGCTATAGATAACAGGTGTAACTAGAGAGCAGTTAAAATTTATAAACCAAAATTATACCTTATTACTTATTGTATGTAAAGGAGGCTATATTCAGTTTTTATATCTTGTTTAAAATACTATTTTCTCCTTTTTGAAGTTGCAAGCCCACATTTTAATTAACTTTTATAATTTTCTATTCTGGTTTTAGACCAACAGCAGCAGAACTATTAAGGCACAAATTTTTCCAAAAAGCAAAGGTAGGAAAACTATACCTTTTGACCTCATGTGTTTATGTGATCCTCATTTTACCTAATTAGGTTCACTACTTAGAAGTTACAGTATCTTAAGAATATTATTTTTGAAAGAATAATGGTAGATCAAATATTGCTGAGAGCATTATCTATAGAATCTTTGGTAACTGAGACATGCTTTAGAATTAGTAAATGCATTTTTCATATACATTGTGTTAGGTAAAGTTTATAATGAAAAAGCAATTTTTAATTTTGTTGCTATAAATAATACATGTGGAAAATACTGAACTCTCATTTCAGGGTTTACTACTGAGTTAGTAACCATCTCACTTCCCAAAGATACTGGATAAGTGGGCTGTTACTGTAGTTGGAAATGTGGGACCATGATCCCAGTGGACATATGGTAATATAAACTTTTCTTAGATAATGGCTCATACAGTATACTAAAGCTCTGCCAATTTATAAAACCATGGTGGTAATGCTCTAAAGGAGCTTCAGAATAAAAGAATGGAAGCTTTTCTCATACTTATAAAACTTAGCTATTGTATAATATCTCAAGTGGGAACATTTCTGTGTTAGTATTTTTGTTTCAATTACAACATCTTCTTAAAATGTCTTTTTTGAGAAGAAAATACTAATTTTTCCTCTTTAGAATAAAGAATTTCTTCAAGAAAAAATATTGCAGAGAGCACCAACCATCTCTGAAAGAGCTAAAAAGGTAAATGGGACTTAACTCAGTTTTCCTGGGAAATTGCATGAAATTCACTTTTGCATTTTGAAAGTATATGTTAAGTAATACTTTGTAAGCAGTATGAGATGACAGTTCTTCATTTTCTTTCTGGCCTTTCTGTAGCATTCTTTGATCTTTTCATTCACAGTATATGAAGCTATAGTGAATAATGAATGATAATATACATCATTATACATTATACAGTGTAAATTAGTACACTATATGCCTAAGTATTATTCTGATTCCTACTAAAATGAAATGACATGTTAGATAACTGACCAGTTAATTTGAAACTCTATTAAATAATCACCCTCGCAGCTGCCAGGGTGAGTCAGGAAGTGGGCCTTGTCTTACACCATACAAAATTTTTTTTTTAATTTAACACTTTATATTCACTATGATGACTATAATAAAAAAGGCAGAAATTAGCAAGTGTTGATAAAGATGTAGAGAAATTGGAACTGTCACACATCACTGATGTATGTGAAGTCGCCCAGCCATTTTGAAAGTAGTCTGGCAGCAGTTCAGAAGGCCACTCAGAGTTGGCATACAACCTGGCATTTCCAATCCTAGGCTTACCCAAGGGAATTGGAAACATGTATACACAGTAATGTGCACGTGCATGTTCCACCAGCATTATTCCTAACAGCTAAAAAGCGGAGACTCCCTGAATGCCCATGTCTGATGAGCAGGTTTACCGGATGTAGTGTATTTATGCAGTGGAATGGTATTCAGCAATAAAAGGGAATGAAGTACTGTTACCATAACATAGATGAACATTTAAAATTTTTTGTTAGTCGAAAGAAACCAGTTATAAAGGATAACATATTAAGTGGTTCCATTTATATAAAATGTAGGCACTGTATAGAGACAGAAAGTAGGTTAGTGGTTGCCCAGGACTGGGAGGGTTGTAGGAAATGGAAGGTGACTGCTAATTGGTTAGAATGTTTTTTGGTGGGGGCAGGAGGTGATAAAAATGGTCAAAATTTGATTGTGTTGGTGGTGTTACAGTTCTGAATATGATGATAAACATGACTGAATTGTATACTTTTAAGTGGGTCAGATTGTATGATACATGAATTTTAACTTGAAAACACTATTAACTTGAGTAAAAAGAGCGTTTAAAGTATGGTACCAACAGAAAGCTCTTAGAAATTGAAACTACAGAAGTTTAAAAGTTCAATGCAAAGTTTGTAGGGTAAAGTTGAGGAAATTCCCTAGAAACAGATCAAAAAGACTAAGAAACAATAATAGAGAAAAGATGTGACTATTAAAGGATCATTTTGAAAAGGAAAACCAAAAAAAAGCCAGAAGAAAGGAAATTGAAGAAATAACTCAAGAAAAAACTGGTAATGAATTTCTAGATTGAAAGAATCCAAGTATCCAACACAATGAGTGAAAAATAAGTCAACACTAAAATACATTACCATGATAGATCAGGAAATAGGAAACCAAAGAAGATGTAATTACTTTCCAGAGAGGAGGAAAGATCACAGACTGGATCAGAAGTCATAATGACCTCAGTCACATCTCTGGAAGCCAAGTCACAGTAGACCAGCTCTGTTCAAACTTATGAAAGAAAATTATTTCTAACCTGTACTTTCTTTTAACCAGGCGTAGACAGTAAACGAATGTAGTGATAGAATCAAGATCTATGTCATGTTAACATACTTAAACTAAGATAGGGTAGTCGTGCGATTCAGGATGCATGGTTCCTCTGGGTAGAGGTACCTCTGGCAGAGTATGAGCGGCAGGACTAGTGTTAGTATGAAACAAATAGAAATAGATTTGGAGTCTCTGAGGTGCTTCAGGAATGTGGTAAGGAGATTTGCACAGCTGGGAAAGAACGAATAAGTATGTCAAATACATAGACATAAGTAAATATTAATTCTAGGAGACAGAAAAATTATGCAGGAAAGAAAAGTGATTGAAATATACAGTAGGTCTCAGCTCCATCATTTCCATAACCATATTATGTAAACAATGAATATTCATCTAGCTGAAATTATGTTTTTAGAAAAGACCAGGAAACTGATAATAGGGTTTTGATGATAATTCTCATCTTCCACTGAAGAAAGCCCAGTGGGTTTTTTAAATCCTAAAACTGAAATGTCAAGGGATAAAAATAAAACTTTGTGTTTTAGAGATATGGATATAAATTCAAAAGAATAAGCCAAAGTGAGGTGAAAGTTGTTGGCTTTGACAAGAGGATTAGTTAAGAGATTGCTATTTTTCTTACTGAAATTTGCACAGTGGTAATTTTCATGAAACTACAGGTAAAATTGTGATTTTAAAAATTAAAAAGATCAGTCTTTATCTTGAGTTTGTTTATTTTTTGGACTCAAACATTTTATTTTCAAAATCTTGGGACATGAAACTATGGAAATTTACATTACACAGGTTTGACTCCACCTAAGAATTTTGAAGCAGTTTAACTTCAGATTATACAAATGCAGGGAAAGTGCTGTGACGCGTAAAGGCATGAGGAGGTTGTGAGCAAAGAGCTAGTGAGGAGTGGAAAGAAGACTTTCATACGGGAAAACCTATGGGGCAAATGACCATGTAAATATACTTAGTCTTTGAAGTAAGAGAGGGAGAAGGGTATATAATTGCGTTTTCTGTGTGGTGACTGTCCACGTCTGTCCTGTGTGCAGGTCCGGAGAGTGCCAGGTTCCAGCGGCCGTCTCCATAAGACAGAAGATGGTGGCTGGGAGTGGAGTGATGATGAGTTTGATGAAGAAAGTGAGGAAGGGAAAGCAGCAATTTCACAACTCAGGGTAAGTTATGTTAAATGTTTGGCTTTAGCTAGACCTCTTTTTATTTTAGGTCTTTGAGATAATACTGTGTTTTGTGTTTTTCTGACTTCGTCAGTTAAAAAATGTAAAGAATACAGGCGTTAGTGACACATTTTCATCAACGTCTTAGCGGGAGCCTAATAAATTTGAGGATCAAAGTTAGAAAAGTGGATTGGCACACCTGTTTGAAAATAATTTTATTTTCAGTATATGAAATTGACCCAATCTAGACATGAAAACTAGTATCAGAGATGAAAATGTACTGAATAGGATTAGTGTCTGATTAAACATTGCAAAAGAAAAAACCCAGTTGAAGGCCCAACAATCGAGAACTTTGTCCCTGCGGTCTCCCAGTCTACCTGGAGAGGACAGGTGTAGCCATTCTTCACTTTCCATTGCTAGATCCGGACGTGTGTGCACGTGCATGTGCACGTTCTGGAAGCCAAGACAGGGCCTTCTTTTGGTTTGGTTCATTAATTAGTGTCTTGAATTGATATTAGGGCGCATTCCCAAGAACCGATGTAGGTATAAGAAATAGCAACATCGAAGGTCATCGTAGTCTTGATGGCCCAGAACTTTTTTATGGGGCGAGTGGTTGGAGAGGTGAGGCGGTAGGGGTACCTCTGCCCACTGTTAGGATCTGCTCTTTGTACTGGCACTTACGACTTGTTGATCTACATTGAGTGTTGATCAGAAAGGTGTTTGAGACTAGTTCTCTTGCAGAGCTAAGTTTGTAAAACCTTGCCTTTGAAAAATGGCAAAAAATTTTTAAACTCTAACCTTGGAAAAGTTCTTCAAAAAATAATATGTGTTTACAGATGCTTGTGAGTTTGTTTTATTAACAGTTATGAGACTGGAATTCTATCTCAAATTTTTGGGAGTCAACATTTATATAACTTTATTAAAGTATTTGTTATAATTGTTTTACTAGTCATTGTGTATCTCATTTATAAATTAAACTATTGTAGTTGCATATGCATAGGAAAAATATATAGTATAAACTTGACACTATTTGTAGTTTCAAGCATCCACTGGGTTCTTAGAACCTCTTTCTCTCTGCCCCCCTAGCCCCCCAGATAATGAGGGACTACTGTGTAATCATTGAAAAACAGGAATCTCTGAGTCCATACCAATAAGGAGATATAAAAATTAATGGGGGGAGGGTGGGAAGGATGGTTCTTCATTACATTAAACTGCCAGGTGCTAAGTGGTAAATATGGAGGTATGTTGAAAGCAGGGAAAAACATCTTTTTATAGCAGTCACTAATGGGTGGCTAAATATAGGGGAAAGTTTTGATGTGTTGGATGTTTACATAGTTTTGAAGTGTTTCTTAAGAGGTTGCTTATTAATTGCAGAAGAAATAGTTACTGCATATTGGAGAAATCAGGAAATGTTTCAATCAAGGGATTAAATTTAGAATCACCAATTAAGGATATATGAACATGTGAGTTCCCTAGCAATATGATACCCTGGGAAGAACACATCACTGTAGAACTCCAGTTGGGAATTCATAAAAATCTAGTCATGAGGAAAAACACTAAACAAACCCAAATTCAGAACATTATATTAAAATTAAGTGGGGGGCAGGGTATATTCCTCAAAATGTTAAGATTCAGATATAAGACGTCTAAAGAGATGTGACAACCAATTACATGACAATAAGATGCATCCTATATAGAGGGAAACACAAAAGGCTATAAGGAATTACATGGCTACCGGGACAAAGAATATAACACTATCATGGCAATTTTCTTTTTCCAGAGAATTTTTACTAGAGTTACCCGTGAGTTATATGGATCAGAATGAAATGGAGTTGACTTTCATTTCAACATTCCGTGCAGTATGGAACTGACTACCTGAATTTTGAGTTAACAGCCCTTTTTGTGTTTCTTTTAGTCTCCCCGAGTGAAAGAATCATTATCAAATTCTGAGGTAAGTAGTTATGGTTATTGAATTGTTAAAGTGTATGTGCTTTTGCCTGATTTGCTTTAAATGCTAAGTACATTTCCTTTGTATGAGCCTACATGGAAATGACAGTTTATTCCAGTTGAATATTATTAGAGATAGCAGTTCTGAGTTTGGATGCACCTTTGCTGTAAACTATCGCCATGATATTCATTTTAAAAATACCCTAAGCGCCCAGAATGTTCTTCCTTGCTTGACTTTATGAGTTACCTTTTTGACTTTTGCTGATTGAAGATGAGGCTTTTTACAATGACCTCTGCAGATATTTGTCATGTGCTGCTCTTCCTTTTTGGGTTCACTACCCTCTCTTTTTCTCATGTCAAATAGATTCTCTTATCTATAGTTACTGCCTCAGGGGGATAAACAGAATCTTGTTAGACTGACCTGCTTAGGGTCAGTATCTGAAGAGAAAAATCATTGCAGGAGACCCTTGTCATACACTCTTCCATTTAACATCTCCATTCTGAGCTTAGTATGTTTTAATGACACACATCTTTTGCTCTTAAACCAATTTATTCTTTTTCCTTTGCTTAAAAATAACACTTTCTACCTTTTCTCCTCCTTTTTCCTCTTTTATGAACAGGACTTTGGACATAGTATTATATTGTTTCTAAGACTGAAAATACAGTATTAACAGGCCATTATTTCAGTTTCTGTTAGAGCTGCTATCCCTCCTCTTGGTGCATGGTAGAATTGTATTTCCTACCTCTTGAAGTCATACATAGCTACCTCACTTACTTGATCCAATGAAATGTAAGCCGCTTCCTTTTCCAGTCAAGTTGACACTGTATGTATGTTTTTGTTACAGCTCTTTCCAACAACTGATCCAGTGGGTACTTTACTCCAAGTTCCAGAACAGATTTCTGCTCATCTACCTCAGCCAGCTGGGCAGGTGCCTGCACAGCCAACCCAAGTCTCTCTTCCACCCGCTGCAGAGCCAGCAAAACCAGCTCAGGTGAAGCAGGGATCTTTACTGGTCAGCCCTCTGGGCAGATGAAAAAAGCAGAGATTAATATACTAATCCCATGTCGTAAGGTTGATGTCTTGGTAGATTTTGAAATAGGTTAGAAAATTTATTGTCACAGCTATCAATGTGTGAAAAAACAAAGGTTTTATAAAGATCACATCAACTTTTAAACAACAAGGTGTATTAACTAAGAAATAATTCCATTTGGGAGCTATATTCTTGACAACTTCTTTTACATTCCCACAGTTAACTGTAGAATGCGGCTGACAGAGTTCATCTTCGACTAGAACCGCCAGCTTCTGTTTGCTTTTTGTTCATTTATACTTGTATTATTTGTTAATATCTCTGAAACATGGTTTTCCTATCCTATTCTTTTTAGATATTAGTTTTGTGAGGGTTGATTTTTTTTATTAAAGTCGGGTAACACAGTCTATAAATCACTGTTATCAGGCACACATTAAATTCCAATACATTGAAAGCAGCAGAGAGAAAGAAGCCCATGGTCTCTCCATGCTGGGTAGCTGTCTCTTTTCCCTCTAGAAACCCCCACACTGTCCGTGCATGGCATGTGGCCTTATGCCCATGGCTAGAGTAAGAATTTCAGTCTGTTCATTTATTAGGGATTGGGGGGGGGGGCTCCCTCCCCCCAGCTTCTTAGTGGAAATAAAAATAGAGGTGTTAATTTTTTTCTTTTGCACCCCATTGGCAGACCATCCTGTGTTCCACTTTTGGAGCCCAGTGCTCTGAGTGTTTCCTCTCAGTCCTTGTGCTGACTTCGTTTAACTTTTCGTCACCCAGGCCTTCCATCTCTGCCCATCATATAGAAATGAGATGGTTGTCTTAGGACAACAGGTGGGCGGATTGTATTCATTTTCTAAACAACCTCACTAGGAATTATACACTCTCCTAAGCAAAGGCTCGCTGTACCAGTCTTTAAACTAGTGTTGGTTCAGCTGTGAGAAGACCTGGAACCTCTCGGTGCTTGGGGCTCCTAAGAGGCAGCCAGTTCAGACCCCCTGCTGGGCTGCTGTGCTGCTGGGCTGCAGTGACGCACCTGCATTTTCGCCCTTATAGCGGAGAACAGGGGTATGAAAAAATACAAAATACATATGGAATTTCAGGTGGCTTTGAGAATTATCTTCTAATTGTGTTTGGCTCCGGCTGCCACTCAGCTCCTGTTGCTACCTTGAGCGCAGCCCTCCCACAGCAGGGACGGCTGGGACTAGTGTGGCCTAACCTGGAGCTGACAAAAATGGCAACTGTCAGTCACCTGCATGCTTCAAGTCCAGGCAGTGACTGTCCCTATCAATGCTTTTTAGGCTCCATCTTCAGGAACAGCTCCACAGGAAACCAAGATCCCAATCAGTCTAGTACTAAGATTAAGGTAAGTAGTCTTGAGTTAGTTACTTGCATTTTGAATAGGATGTTTTGTCTTTCAGAATTTCTCCCTTTTCTAATAACCTCTGCCTGCAGGTAATTGAGCAAGCCCCTGAAAAGGGACTGGGTGTCCTTCCACTATCAACTGCCCTTTGCTTGCCTGCCATGCTGTTCTTCTCAGAAATGATAGCAAGAGTGTGAGAATCCACGTGTTAACAGGTTCTACAGCAGATAACACCCATTCTCTTAACTGTGTCTCTACTGAGAGTGATACTTTTGTGAGTTTGCAATATAGCTAGTTTAGGTCAGGAGTGTGGTCTGTGAGGAATGCTTTTCAGCAGAGCAGCACTAGTTCGTTATCTTAGCATTTCACGGACTCCAGAACACGTAAGCTGAGCATTGAGCATGAAACACTTTCTGATTGTGATCGCTCAGAGCAGGCCTGATTCTTCAAAGATGAAGAGAAAACCTCTGAGTATACATTTGACCTGTTTTTCTGTCTTACAACAAATGTTCTACATTGATTGATGGGAAATTGTAGCCCCTGACTTGGCTCACAGGAAGCACGCAGGTGGCAGTGTTCTCCTCACCCCTCCCTTTGCAGGTCGTTGGGTTGCAAGTCCAGAGCTCTGTTTGTCAGAATATCTCTAGTTGTTGTATAGCTCTAATAAGGTCTTTCTCCATTTTAAATTCATTAAATTAATATATATATATATATTAAATATTAAAAGCATCACCCTGGCCCTCCCTGGTGGCGCAGCGGGTTAAAGCACAGCACTGAGAATCTAAAAAGCCGCTTCCGCATGAGTTTGATTCCCGCCTGCCCCGGAGGTGACCACATGGCGCGGCAGACCTCTCCTGACCCGCCCGCTGCTCCCCTCAGCAGTGTACTTCGTCGATCTGCCTGTTCTGTTCCCCACTCTGTCTCTGGTGAAGCCTCTCACCATCCCTGAGCCTCTGGCCTGTACCCCAGTTCTGTATGCACAAATAAATAAATCTTAAAAAAAAAAAAAAGCATCACCTGAGATAGCATAGGCCTTTTAAAAAGACTACTACTACTAACACTAAAGAGAGCATTCCACTCAACTTACCATTAACTCATTGTTCCTTGACATATGAACTCCTAGTGGTGTTCTTAGTAAAACCATGCAGTAAGAGCAGTTTTGAGAATATTTTAATAGTAGGATCAATGAAATGAAGCCATGTATGTGGAGAATAGATTTGGTTCCCTTCCCTTTACAGAGGTCTGCTCAGTGTTTCGGGTCTCATCTCAAACAGTTGGAGTTAATAGTATTTTGATAACCTCATCCTATTTTAATTGTTTATAAAGAATACCACATATGTCCTAAAATCTTTGTTTTGAAATTTCATATAGCTAGTAGACAGTACAATTCCTCCAACTTCTCTGCCCAATCAGCTTGTACCTGTTCAATCAATCCTATCTAAAGGTGCCATCTAAAGTTTTCCCTTGCTAGCCTCGTCTGTTCTTCATGTTCATCCTCTGAATTCCTGTGGAATTTGGGCAACACATTATGTGATTCATTCTGGAGTTAGCCAAGACTGATCACTAGTGACAGCACAGAGAACCTGGGTGAAGTGGGAGGAGGAGGAAATGGTCATCCTGTGTCACTGTACGTCACACCTCCCGGGTTCTCCCTGGTGCATGGCGGGTTACGGCACTGCAGCACTGTGAAGCTGTCTGCAGCCACCGCAGCATGAGTTTGATCCCCGGCCTGGGAGCTGACCCACATGGTACAGCAGACCGCTCCTGTCTCACCTGCTGTTCTCGTCACTAGTGTATTTCAGTGCATCTGCCTATTCTGCACCCAACTCTCATCTTTGGTGAATCCACTCACCACCCTGCACCTCTGGCTTGCACCCCAGTTCTGTATGCATAAATAAGTAAAGCTTAAAAAAGAAAAAAAAAATCACACCTCCCTCAGCTTATACAGATTTTCCTTTTTATATGATGACCTAAATAGAAATAAAGGTGGGAGTGAGCATGCAATGAGCACCTCAAAAACATGCAATTTTAACTTTTTAATAAAAAAAAAACATGCAATTTTTATATTGATCAATGAAGGACAGACGTTAAAAGGTTGCAGGACAACTAGATGATTTTGAGTATTTACTCTGAACCCTGTGGTGTGAGCACATTAAGACAAATCATTTGATCAGTAGGAATAGAACAGTACTTCTTGTGGCAGTTTTCTTAACATAGGCTGGCAAAATCTTTATACTTAAATTAAGAAACATTGTATACTGTTTTCTTTTGTAGGAATTCAAAAAAAGAACTAAATGATATTCGATTTGAATTTACTCCTGGGAGAGGTGAGGCATTTAAAAATAAAATAACTTTGAATCTGTTACTTAAATGTTTTGTGAAGTTTTTGACCTTTATATTATTTTGCTTTTAGAGGCTAACAGAAATAAATGTTCCTGGTTTAAAGGTTTTGAGAGAAGGATCCTGTGAATAAAAATGCACTTTTTTTTACACTAATCTTATTTTTAAAAAACCAGTGAAGTACAAATAGTAATGAATCTAGATCTGATGTACTGCTTACTCTGGGGTAGGCATTTGGTCAGCATTAGCTCATTAAATTCTTGAAGTAGCTTTTAAGGAGAGATCCTGTGGCTGCTGTACATGGGATGAAGTCAGCGCTTATGGAGAGAAGAGGTGACTCATTGCAGTTTGCACTGCCGGGAGGAAGTAACTGGAATTCATACCCAGATCTGTGCGAGTGCAAAGTTCTTGCTCTTATCACTGAATGTTCTTGTCCCCTAAGATATTAAAGAAAAAACACGGCTTCCAGTCTACTCTTGGCCCTTGTTGAAGCTGAGCCCTGCCATGCATGGTGTTTTGTTTTGTTTTGTTTTTTTGCCTTGACTCGCCTGGAATAGGCTTGTTTTCTTTTTTGCCTGTTACTCAGGGTTCCATTTGGGAAAGTGGCCTGCAGCCACCAGAAGTCCATCCTCTGAGTCACACTTAACTGTTCCCACCATGTTAGTATTATCAGCAGCTAACTATTAAAGAAAACAATGCATGTAGAAATGTGTATCTCTTATTTTTTAAAGTCAGGCAGAGTCACATCTTAGGGAACCGTTTAAATCACTGGTCATTTGCACCAGAGGCCCTTGCCTCCGAGGGGCTCAGTGTTCAGTCTTGGGGAGCAGATTTCACTGAGTCAGCTGGAGGTGAGGTTAATTGGGGATACTCTGTTCTCTTTTTTTTATTTTCTAGTTATACCTTTTGCTTAGATTGTCCCACCTGAAATAATTACACATAAAGTCCTTCCCACTGAAAAAGAAGATGATTTTAGCCAAAAAAATTTGGGTGTGAGATCCCCAAAAGAGAAATGATTTCAATTTGTTCTCTAAGCTTGGAGAATGAGTCACTGTTTTAAAGCCCTGGGGTATTGCGTGCTTATCATCAAGCCTCAGAGTCCTGGTCAGTCCAGGGTTGCCCATGGAAAAGGGGTTTCCTCTGCAGCATCACTGGCAGGTGCTCTTTCACTCGGGCCCCACCCCTCCAAATTAGACCAGAATTGAGAAAGTTGTTTTTACACTGAGCTGTTATTGCCATCTGGTTGACATAGATTCTGCGCCTGGCTGGACTTGTGAGTCTCTCGCGTGCAGTAATCCCAGTGGTTGGAAAAGCTTGGTGTGGGAGGGAGGCGCCACCTTAATCCTGTGGATGTAGCTTCCAGCTCAGGTCTGGGAGCTCCAGCACCTGCACTGTCCTGGCCCAGAGGCAGACACGCATGTACATAAAACTGAACTGCCTTTTCCTTTGTCCTTACAGATACAGCGGAGGGTGTCTCTCAGGAACTCATTTCTGCTGGCCTAGTCGATGGGAGGGATTTAGTAATAGGTAACTGTCCATGCTGCTCTTGTGCGCCGTGTGCTTAGTACCTGCAAGGTCAGACTTCGGTTCCACTCATCAGGTCCGATGGCTGTTGGAATGGTTCTTGGGTTTGCTGAAGTGACAGACAGTGGGGACAGTTCCTTACAAAAACAAAAATATCTCTTCCGAATTTGCTTTGTGCCCTGCAGTGATAGTTAGTAGGTGCATACCTGGTCTCTGGGAGACTGTGATAAAGTCACGATAGAAGTCTCAAGTTAAAGTGAACCTGCTTGGGAGGAGAAACTGTTCCCTCGGAGCTAACAGGCAAGCAGGTCATCCGAGATTCATTCCTTACAGAAAGAGACAGGACAGTTGGGCCTCAGCGCACACATGAAGGAAAAGACCATGGTCTAGGAAGAATCAGCAATGTTTCCCTGTCAGATAGGAAATCGTGTAGGCTTTGTGGGCCCTGTATTGCCTCTGCTGTTTTTAAACCATTTGTCGTTGAGACGGAGAGCCAGGAGAGCCAGGCGAGCCAGGCTGCAGGCCGTGGTTTGCAGATTCCCAGTCTAGCGCCTCTGGCCCACAAGTAGGGAAATCACATCTCTTTCCTATCTGGGTGCCTGTCCTAGGTCAATGCATCTTTTTTAAAAAGTTCACATTGATTCAGGATTTATTTGTACCACCTGGAAATGAGTTTAAAATATACTTTCTTCCGGGGGTGTGATTTATTTTCTTCCATTTTGATTGTACATGTACGAGTTTAGACTACCATTTTAAGTTTTTAAAGTATGGTTCAAGTTGGATTTGCTTAGTTTCTCATTACTTTCTCTATTTGTATAATTACAGTGGCAGCCAATTTGCAGAAAATTGTGGAAGAACCTCAGTCAAATCGATCTGTCACTTTCAAACTGGTATTCACCCCTTCTCCTTACAAACCGTCTTTCCTGACACATCGCAGCCTGTGCAGATCGTAGTCCCTTAGTGCCGAGAATATTAAAATGTGGTCAGCTGTGGTCACTGCCTGCGCCAGCCCTCCTCATCCTCCACCCTGGGTGGTTTCCCTTGGAGTAGCCTGCCTTCGTTTCTCTTACCCAGGAAGCCTCCTGCTTCAGGCCCTTGACTGTTGTCAGGAGAGATTGTTGACCAGCCAGCCTCAGACTCTATGCCCAGATCCCACCTTTTCTGGAAGAGACACTTCGCCTGTCTCCTGTCTGTGTCCCAGGGACCGGTCACCCATTGCCTTCCTTTTCTTGGTCCCCATGTCAGTTTTAGTAGTTATCTGCACTTTTATTTGTAAAAAGCCACAACTTCTTGTTTTGTTTGGTTCTTAGGCATCTGGTGTCGAAGGCTCGGATATTCCTGATGATGGTAAACTAATAGGATTTGCCCAGCTCAGCATCAGCTAAACCACAGTCCGGGAAGAGGCGGCCTGAGGAGATTCCACACACACGTGTCTCTGTTGCTTCTGTTGGCCTAAACCCACTACTGCCAAAGAACCCAGCAACAAACCTCCCAGCTAGGAGCTTTAGAGGTCTTTCTTTATGTTCTTCCTGCCGTCCTCCCCCCTTTTTCTCACAGGGAAAGAAAAGTTGGATCACCAGTGGCCAGCATCTCTTTAAAGAGTTCCGTTAGTAAACTTACTGCCCATGTCCCCTCTCCGCCTCCATCCGAGAAGTGGCCCTTGTGCCACCAGGCCCAGGAGGGAGATCTGTCAGTTCATCTTATCTTGCCTTACTCCAGGGATGGCACTGGGTGAAAAGCAGCAGCTATATTGGGCTTCTTTTATCCTGCCTGCGCTCCCACACCTGCCAGGATGTGGGCATCTGGGGACATCTCTTTACCACTGAAGTAGCAATTAGAAGTTGATTGTTCAGCTGGAGCTCAGAGAATTTAATCGATAGTGGGTTTTGTTTGTTTGGGTTTTTTTGTTTTGTTTTGTTTTGTTTTGTTTTGTTTTGTTTTTGCATCTGATGTGAATTCTAGCAACCTTTGTTAGGAAAAAGCACAGCCTCGGATAGAGGCAGCCTAAACTGTGTTCTTGTTTTGTTCCTGATGTTTCTAAGCGTTTTGCTGAAGCTGCTCTCAGGCACCCCTCTTCATTGCTCCCTCCAGAAAGGGTGGCTAGCCTTAACTTCAGCTGGTGCAAAACATCTGACTAGTCGAACTTCAGCCATCGGATCATTCAAAGTGGAACTTCGGACTGTTTTTAGAGAAAACATCAAGTACTAGTTTGTAAAAGTGAATTTTCCCAGGGGTGGTTTTTGAACAGGAAAATCATAACTCATATTATTATTGTGTAAGTATTTATTTTCAAATTAAAAAAAATTAAATTGAAGAAAAACTGCTCCTCGATCCTCCTGTGACCTCCGCATCATGAGGAAATGCAAGGCTGAGATTTCTACAGCAATAAAGGAGACTCACTGGGCCAGAGAGGCCTGCCTTCTGCCCTCTCTCCTGCACTGACCCTTTGGAGGGGTCCACACTTCTATGCGCTGAACCTGACCCGAGATGGAAAGTGAAACCACATGTGCCGTGACCTTTACAATTTATGAATAGACAGTGTTCATTTGGTTTTCTACAGAAATATTGTAAATTATTCTTTAGGTTTAAAAAGAGCACTCATAATGTAATATGTGAATAATCAGTGAGGTTGATTTTTTTTCCCCCTTTCTACTGTTTCACAGAACTTTTGTCTAATTCCAAATAGCCCTAACAAGTTTTGTATTTGAAAGGGATACTCAATCTGGCCTTAAAACAGCACACAAAGATGGACTTTGGCCCCAGGAAAAGAGGAAGTTGTCCCTTACAGAATCGAGCCCTTTCCAGCATTGTTGGCCTGGAAACAAGATTGTTTTATCTGATTTTTTCTGGGAGCGTCTCTGAAAGTTTCCCCCATGACCTACGTGCCAGCTTTTGTGTCATCCTGAGCCTGTAGGCTGTAGTCATGTGGGTTTTCTTTAACTGCCTTGGCTGCAGAGGCACGTTGGGAAAGGAATGGGTTTTAGAGAGGGGACAGGTTTGGGATGGGAGTCAGAAGGAATGAGGATTGGAGGGTCAGATACCAAAGTCCAAGGTCCCAGCAGGACTGGCAAAAGGAGGCAGCCTGCTGAGCCTGGAGAGAAAAAAAAGTTTGCTCTGTTTCCAAGAAAAACATTTGGCTTTTTAAATTTTTTTTCTGGTGGGGGGAAGTGTAGGTGCGGGAAATAAGGACAGGGAGGTAGGAATGAGTTAAGAAAAAAATAGCAGAGAGCTGGTACCCTTTTTGGCACAAACAAGTGGGTTACCTGAGTCCGGTCTTTGTTTCCAATAAGCCCATCATCATCTGCTTACTCATGAATCCCAGGAGTCATGACATCACTCTGTTCTAGCTTTCTACTTGGAGGTGGTCTGGTTCCCGGACTGGAAGTGAGCAGCAGCCCATCCCCCTTTCAGTTTCTCCAGCAGGCCAGTGACCTGCAGCGGGACAGGCATGGCTACAGATGGGCTGGGACTTTTTCTTTTCAGTTCATTTTGCCCTGCTGGGAAGTAGGACTCAAATACCAACCCCCAGGACAGTGTTATTCCTTCTGCATGATAATGTGGTGGACTCCCTTTGCTGACTTGTGCAGTGATGCTGAGAAAATAAGTGACCTGAAACTGTCCAGGCTTCTGGACAGCATGTGACCTAGTGACCGACCTTACTTCTTCCTAGGAGTGATGGCTCAGGGTGCATCTCTGTCCTAGGTCCTCAGAGTCCCTTGACCCCCGGGATAGGGACGACTGATTTTAGCACAAGGTAACATGTGCCAATGCTATTTGTGAAATGTATGGTCTTTCTAAATGACTAATGGATTTGTTTGGGTTTTTTGCTTAAGTTTTGAACCAAATCCTAGAGCCAGCTGATACTATTTAATAATCTGGAGGACAGAATAATGGTGTATCAATACATGGAGATTCCTCCTTATGACTTACGGTAGATTATGGAAGATGTAAAATATTTTACTTTTCCCTCCTTTTTTGGACTTTGTATTTTGCTGCATGTTTCCTTCATTTTTAATCAATAAAGAATAAATTGTGGCATGGTGTCTGTTGATGGGCAGCAATGAGGGGTGGGTCAGGATGTTACTTTAATGATTTATACAAATAGAGCAAAGACATAGTGCACGTAAAGTATGAAATGTGTATATTCTTCTGTAAACTGTCTAAAATAGCTTAAAATCCTTGTGCAAATGAGGAAAAAAATCTCAAAGGGGAGAGAGATGTGTCCAAGGAAATTTGAGAGAGTCATATATGGAAGTCCCTGCATTGATCTTTTCTCATTTTTATTCTGCTTTTGTTACCGGTCAGAGAAAAGGTGCTAGATTTAAGTCCTCAAGGCTCCCTTTTGGAAAGTTCAGAGCAGGGCCAAACTTACCATTTGGTTTTGACGTGAAATGATAGGGTTTTGTGTAAGATTCTAGTACCCTCTGTAGTCCAGGCATCTGCCTCCTGCATGAGTAATCTGGATCATAATCCTTTCCCAACAGTTTGTGGCCTTTGAACCCTAATAGAATTACTTGTTAGTCTTGATGTCTTAGGAATAGAGCTCAGGTCCTAGAGTCTTGAGTTGATAGCATTATATTTGATTGAATTTGCTTTCAAGATAAGCAGGTTGTAAAACTAGGCTATTGTGGAAACTGAGGGGAGGTACTGGTTACTCAGAAGTGGCCACGGGCCACGGTATATGTGGAGAGAAAAGGGTGTATCGAGCCAGAATAAATAAAACCTCTCCAATTGCTCATTCCCTAACCACCACCACCGCCCCCCCCCCAATCAGGTCCTGTCAAGAGGTCTGACTCTAGCTCTGTTTTCATAGTTGCAACACTGCAAGAGTCTTGGGTTCCTCCCGAGTCAGCTTATTTACACTTATTAAAAGTAGATTTTAGGCCTTCCCTGGTGGCGCAACAGGTTAAAGCTTCACACTCTGAAGCTCTCAGAAGCCACCGCAGCAGGAGTTCAATCCCCAGCCAGGAAGCTGACCCTCATGGCCCAGCAGACCTCTCCTGACCCGCCCGCTGCTCCCCTCAGCAATGTTTCAGTACATCTGCCTGTTCTGCTCCCCACTCTGTCTCTGGTGAATTCTCTCACCCACCACATCTCAGGCCTGTACCTACCCCAGTTCTGTAAGCATAAATAAACCTTTTTTTAAAAAAGGTAGATTTTACAGTAATAATAATGAGCAACTGTATACCAGAGACATTTTACAGGGGTGGAGTGGGGAATGGAATAAAAAAATGGGGTGGGGGGGAGAGTGCACTGGACTATGGTGATGGCACAAGGGTGATTTGGTGATGGGAAGCCCACGGGGATCACAGCTGAGATGGAAAAAGGCACAAAGTGATGTAAAAATAAACATTTTAAAATTCATTTAAAAAAATAGATTTTAGTTTTCAGAGTAAGTTGTTTCATGGCAAAAATTGAGCAGATGGTAGAGGGTTCTTACGACCCCTGAACTCACAGATATCAACATCCTGTAACAGTGGTACATTTATTACCACCAGTGAACCTAGTAACACGGTATTATCACCCAAAGTCCACAGTTTACCTATCGGTTTACTCTTGCTGTTGGGTTTGAACAAAGGCATAATGACAGGTATCTACCTGTATCAAACCTCCGTGCTCCTCCCTGTTCATCCCTCTTTCATCCCTAGTCGTTGGTAACCACTAGCGTTTTCAGTAAGTCCATAGTTTTGCCTCTTCCAGAATATCAGAATAGCATAACATACAGCTTTCTCAGAATGCTGCTTTGACTTCGTAATAGGCATTTATGGTCTCGCCATGACTTTTGCGTGGCTTGTTCTTAATGCTGAATACTTAAGTCCATGTCTGGATTACCACAGTTTATCAGTCCAGTCCCCACTGGATACTTCTAAGTTTTGACAATTGTGATTTGCTTTATTGCTTGATTGTGGTGGTCTGGACCCAGACTTAGTATATGTGCCTATATATGTGTGTGTGCATACCTACCCACCGACATACATGCACACTTCTGTGTGTTATTTGTACATACTGCATAGAGAATCTAATACATTGTGGCTACTATTATTTTAAACCAGCTGTTTGTTACATCAACTACTCGACCTCATCCTTCTCTAACAGCTTCTTTCATGCAGTTTCAAGTTTCTGACCCATTATAATTCTCCTCTCTAAAGAACTTCTCTTAAACATTTCTTGCAAGGCCGATCCCCTGGCTACAAATCCCCTTTCTTTGTCTGAGAAAGTATTTCTCTATTTTTTGAAGAATAATTTTACAGGATAGAGAATTACAGGTTGGTGAGTTTTTCCTCTTTAACATTTAAAGTACTGTATTCAGCCTGGTTCTTACATGGTTTCTGAAGAGTCAGGTGTAAGTCTTACCTTTGATCCTATATAGGTAAGGTAGATTCACCACCACCACCACTCTACCCATCTTCCTTACAAGAATTTTTCTTTATCTTTGATTTCCTGAAGTTGAATATATGCTTAGGGCTGGGTGTTTGGGTGTTTTGTTTTTGGCATTCATCCTGCTTGGTGTTTTCTGAGCTTTCCAGACCTGTGGTTTGCATCTGGCTTAATTTTGGGAAATTAACCCAGTTAATAAGTTTCGATAATACCATTGTTTCAAGTTTTTCTTCCATTATACCCACTTCTCCTGGCATACCAAAGGGTATGCATATGACACAGACCTTTTGTATATGTCCCAAAGTTCTTGAGTATTTTCTTCACATTTCAGTTTGACAATTCCTATTGATATATCATGTCCTCAAACTCAGATTCTTTCCTTCGCTGTGTCCAGTCTACTAATGAGTCCATCTAAGGCATTCTTCATATCTGTTGCACTAATTTTGATCTAGCATTTCTTTTCTTTGCTGGAATTTCTGTCTCTCAGCTTAATACCTATTTGTTCTTGCATGTTGTCTACTTTTTCTATTCATTTCCTGGGCATATTCATAGCTTATTTGATAAATTCCCCATCTGATCATTCTAGTATCTCTTCCATAGCTGTTGTGCTTCTTCAGTGCATTTTCAGATGCATTGTAAATTTCTTGGATGCTGAAGATGATGTACTGTGTGAAAAGAATTCCAGTAAATAAGCTTTCAGTGGCGTGGTAAGCTGAAAGGAAAGGGGGAGCATCTTACGGTTTTATGCTTCTGTCTGTTGATCAGCCTGTGCCGCTGGACTATAAGCTTTGCAAGAGGAGGCTGGGGCTCCTCTGCCCCCTTGAGTGGACTGAACAGTTAGAGGCAGTCTGAAACTTGAAATTTTGGAAGGGTAGAAGGGGCTAGAGCTGGGGCCTTGTCCCTGGCAAGTAAGTCAGACCAATAGTTTCTCTTGATACCTGCACCCCCATGTTTATTGCTGCCTTATATACAATTGGAAAGACATACCCAAAAGTGGATGACTGGATTAAAAAGATGTGGTACATAGACACAATGGAATTACTCAAATAATAATAATAAACATGCCTTTTGCAGCAACATGGATGGGGCTGGAAGGGATCATGCTTAATGAAATAAGCCAGAAAGAAAAGGAAAAATACTGGATGGTTTCGTGCATAGCAAGAGTATAAAGGAGCAGGGGAGAAAATAATAATAATGAACAACTATATACTATATATTTTATGGGGGTGGAATGGAGAGTGGGATCAAGAACAGTGGAGGGAGGAAATGCACTGGACTATGGTGATGGCACATGGGTGATCCCTGTTGGAAACCCACAGGGATTACAACTGAGATGGAAAAAAAATGTACAAAATTATGTAAAAAAAAAAATTAAAAAAAAAAAGAATAGTCATATTTCAGAATCGTTGCTTCTTCCCTTCCCAGGGTGGAAACAGGGATTTATTTTTCCTATGGTATTCACCTGGAGGTAAATTACACTCACAAAAATGCAGAGCTCTCTCTGCC